TCCCTTATAACCGAGTATTGACTGTAGCTCAATAAGGAGTGGCAGATTACCTATTTGGACTCATTCCTTCAGTGCCCTAGCATGGCTTTCGGATCTGCGTGTATCGTCCGAGACAAAGTGCGCAGCCCAAATTCGTAAACCTACACATCAGCTGTCCCCTGTGAATCCGTGTAGTAGACGGAATGCGAGAGCTGTAGAGAATTCTGCAGGGCTTTCTTCAAGGGAATTTAGAGACTATCTTCGTGTGGATGCCGCCTCAGATTTCCCGGACCTGCTAAGGTAACAAAAGCCCAAGTCCTAGCCGAAATTCCGAGCTACCAGATCTAAACAGTGTCTTTTCAGAATTGTCAGCCCGCTACTGTGGGCTGAAACAACAAGTAGTTCCTTCGAACTATTTGCCTTCTGCACTGCGTAAGTACACGTGCACATTGCACTGTAGAAGTTCCCTACCAGCAGGCTCAAAGGCATGAGACTTCGCCGCACACTTGGCGCAGGTTCCATGGTCTGTTTGGGAGAGGTGGCGCGTGATTTCTTTGGCGCTGCTTTTGCCCTTGTCCACCTTTGTGCAGGCTCAGTGTGGGGTTGGTGGAGTATGTCTTGGTAACATTGATAATAGCCATTGTATTAATATCATAGCAAGAATAGAGTAATTACAGTAATGATTTCGTAGTATCATGTGGTTACAGGTCGAAGAGAGTTGAGCTGAGACGAGCTTTAGATTCGGAGGCTGGTAGGCATCACGTTTCAGGATGGATACTTCTTACGCCTCGGGTGGGGTTGAACCTCAAAGGAAGATTGGTAAGATGACAGGAACCCAGGTGTCTCCGCGTCTTGCTGGTAGCAAGTGTGCCTAGCTTGTGCGAAAGAATTCTGCCCTGCAGCATGACTTCTGGTCAGGAAGCCATTCTTAAGCGTCATCTGCGTTGAGTCCCATGCATGCAGAACCTGCTCAGACGTGCAAATCAGCCTGACCAGTGCTTCTTAACCCGAAGATTTTTTAGAGATACATTGTTGTGCACTTTGGTCACTCCTGCTACTTATACGGGAATTCTCCTAAGTGACTTGGCTTGTAGCAGGCCTTAGTGGCCCTCCCGTAACAAGGGTTTGTAGTATAGGGCCGGCTTTGCGACGAACCCCACCCTTGATGTCGAAGATTTGTGACGAGGGTAGGGGTGGTGGCTACATGTGTGTGCGTGTTGTAGCAGATGTCGGTTCTGGGCAGAGGGCGAACTGGGGACCATGAAGCTCATCCTGCGGTAGATTCGCAAGCTAGGCATACCGCTGGCATTATCCATACTGCGCCTACACTGCCAAGACCAGCGCTTCTGCCAGATAATAGTATCAGGCGCGACTGATTAAACCTTGCACCACCCAGTGTCCTTAAACTGCAGTAGTGTCTTGGATTATGGGCCAGAAGCCCTGAACCCTAAGATGCCTGAGACCTCTTCAGGCAGTGCTTGTCAACCAGTACTTTTGGCACTCTCTCCGGTTAGGCCGAGCTGCCACATTGCATGGCAACGCTTCCAGCATTGGTTTACTGTGTAGGATACACACTAGACATCACTAGACCCCCAAAACCTAAGCAAAACCTAAACTCCAAGCCCTAAACCCTAAGCTCTAAACCTAAAGCCCTGTTTTGTTTGGCTTTGGTTGAGGGCTCAGAAATGGTGGATCCACGCACATTTTCACAAGGAAGTTCGCATACGGAGATCCTCTGAAAGAGAAAATACATGACACGCACAAGAGGGCAGAAATCTGTACTACAGGATTTCAGGGGGGATGCTAGACAGCCTCATCGTCCGAGCCTCTCTGCGGCTCTCACGCTTCGGGTTCCCAACCTCGACTTCGCATGAACTTTTATCCCTAAGCCTCCCCTGGTCAGCCCGATTATTATTATCATTATTACCATTATGACTGTTATGACGATTATGGCTATTATCACTATTACTATTACTAGTATTACTATTATTACTATTATTACTATTATATTACAAACATGCATTGCAACTCCATGTTTTACGGACAGCCCTATGCCCCTTGATTAAATATCAAGAATGTATTCCAATGGCCAATAGAGGATCCATAACGATTCAAGGTGTACTCAAAGAGGCATACATGTATGATATGTGCATACAGATTCCTAGACCTTAAACCCTTATCCCTAAACAGTCTTGGGCTTCTTGGGGGGGCCAGGGGCCTTGGTTCGCGCAGCACTGTCTGCAGCCGTCTTCCGACGCATGTCCTGACCTCAGATAATTCAGAGCCTACGATGGATAATTCCTATGTACCTTGCACCACTCAGAAGCCCCAGCATACGGTAAACTTTGGAGTATAAGCTATGTACGGCGGCAGAAAGTTTACCGCCTCTCCCCCCCCCCAAGATGCAGTCGCTACTTTTGGGCGGCGCTATTGTTGACAAGTTTTGTTCCGCATTTGGGGGGTGGGGAGATCAGGACAAAGCAGTTCATACTTGTGGGCGGCAAATACATGAGCCAAGTGCACACAGCTTTCCGCGTCAAGGGTGTAGGGCCCTGCTCGGCAAGCCCCTGCTTTGTAAGGACTCAAAGCATTCATCGGGATCTTGGCACCGCCAAAAACACGTCAACATGAGTTATAGTCTAGAGTCTAAACTCCTGGTTACTGGGGGGAATACTAGGAGTTTAGACTATAGCTCATAAGACATAAGGATGATACCGTGAGGACATACAGTCAGGCAAGTGTTAGGCTTGTCAGCTCCTAGAAAGTGCAAGGCCTCAAAGAGCAGGCCAAGGGAACATTGGCGTGCACGTTCACACATGACCAGGCCTACAAATAGGACATCTGCATCATGGTTAGAGCTAACATTGCACTGTGACTTCGCTCCCAGCTATATGTCGGAGGCCCTACAACGGGGAACCGTGGTGAGAATCCATGGTCTGCATTCGAAGCCTTCGCTGAATGATGCCCTAGCTTTAGTCGTGGGTAAGCACTCAGAGGACCGCTGGGTCGTCCGGCCAACCTCATCCCCAGATTCCGTGGCCGTGCGTTACACGAACTTGCACCGGGCACGGGAGCTGTCGGAGGGCCTGCGTCAGTCAATCTTCACCGCAGCTGCTCTGTCAGTGCTGCTTGTGGCGCTGGCAGCGCGTGCTGGCACCCGATCCCGGCTGCGGGCATTCGTCCCTTTGGCCTCGCTGCTTTGGTATCTGGTAGCAGTGCTGGGGTGCTACTGGGTGCACTCACCCCTGCTGGGCAGCGGAGTCTATATACCTGCCATCTCGGAGATGGGCGTCTCAAGCCCTGCAAGGCTTCTTTACCGCGTAGCATTTGGCCTTTGTGGCTTCCTCCTGGCCGTGACTCTGTTGCAAATGTATGACCTGGCCTGCAGTCATCATCCAGAGGCTGGCTTGCCATTCAACAGCACTTTTGAGAAGTTTTGTGTATATGTACATGCACACGTCCATTTTTGATGGTTCCCAGTAATACCCGAATCCCAGGAGACAACAGCGCAGGATTCTGGTCTGCTATGGGGCCTTCTGGCTTCCTTCGGCATCGCTCTGCAGGGCGTTTGCACGCTCCGTCTGGACTTCGCAGCGGAGACTGCGCTACATCTTGGCGGCGCCATGTTGACCATGTTTGGCACCTTTTCTCACGCGGAGAGGTCCCGCGCCTCCACGTTTAGTCTTGCAAGGCAGCTAGGTGCTGTTCCTTGCAACCGTAAGTGGACATTCTCATGACAGTTGCAGGGAGGGACTGTGCTGTCCTTCTCTCATCAATTAATTTGTGTGCCCGTTCTGCGTTCTGACGGGCACACGCCGAGTGCAACGCAGCAAACCGCACCGCCTTTGCGCCGAGCATTTCGTTCCGGCACTACCTACCCTCGCTAAATACTAATTACTGAGCCAGAGGGAACACTGTACGTAGTTCGTTGGAGGAAGACTACTACTGTCAGACCGGCACTCAAGGTGTAAAGCCGAAGTATCCCCAGATAATTGTCATCCACATGATGCCCAAGTCTTCACTCAGTGGTCCCACCCGCGCAGGTCCAACGAATGGTTTGAGTCCCTTCCTGTGGGCTCTCCTCTTCTGCGCCGAGGGTGGCGCGGTTTCGGACTCTACTTGCGCAGAGACCGCTTTCAGGCCCTGGCGCCTTGAATCATGTAAGGTCTTTACTTGTGAAACCTGGTGTCATAGCAAAGCCCGGTATTCTCACCGGATGAAATACATTCAGCTCAGGTAGAATCATGGGCTACTGATACTAGCTTTGTAAGTTTCAGTTCTTTGTAGATTTGGGAGTTTGTCCACGCTTTATGATTCCTACTTCCAGCTACCCATGCCTGAGGTGTTCTAAGAAGGATTCGGGTTTTTGCTTGTTATAGGCCCCATCAAACAACTACGCATGAATTCTGGGAAGGTTCCAGGGCAGATAGACATAAACTTCACAATCAGAATTTCCGCAGTTCCCAAATCCTTTGCCAAGCTAGTGGTACATGTAGAAGACTTCCACGCCCACAAGAACCTTCCTAAACCCTGAGCCTTTTAAGCCTAAATCTTCGACCAAAAGCCCTAAGCCCTTGTCCTGTGGATCTTTGAAAGATTTGAGGCATCCGGTGGCACCCCGCTGATGGTAATGTTTGCAGTGCCCCTCCTGCTGGAGGGCGCCAAACGCCTCGGCCTTCTTTCTGAGATGAATCTGGTGGAGAACTGCATGGGTGTGATGCTTCCCGGGGGTCAATTTCAGCGCGTTTGACTTTGCTTTCTAGTTGTTTTAATCAAGTTAGGCACCGTAAGGGTCCCTGTTTTTGAGTGCCCCAACATATTGAGGATCGCAAGTAATTCTGATTGATGAAGGGACGAAAAGCCGGAATACATCCCCGTATCTTCTTCAAGTCAGCGAGCCTACGGAAGCCTAGCGAGATTTGCGGATGTGATCACGTCTCTAGGTAAGCTCTATGTGCTCCTTATAAGGGGGACGCCTAGTATCATTCCTTGGACGCTTCTATTTTGGAAAACCCCCGCACTGACCCCATATACATATATGTATATATACGCATGCATGTATATATATATATATGTATATAAATACCCCTGTACGGTCTCTCAGGTCAGGGACACAAAAGTAATCTATGTTCTGAGAAACATGCAGTTCCTTCTTTGCCACTATGGGAGAGGTCCAGCTTGCACTTTCTGGATGGATAATTCCTATGTTGCAAAAGAATATGAGTTTTGGCCTATAGTCTGAACTCCTTGAGGGGGTTATATAAGGCATTATCTCGGGAAGCATTATAGGCTAAGGGGATATTAAGGCTCATACTTGGAGTTTAAAATTTTGGCTCATACAATCCCCGCAAATGCCAAAAATACTTCCCTAAATTCACTCCCCCACTTCCGCCTGAGAATCAGCAAGCAGAACCATTCATGCAAAGTTAATTTCTCCTATATAGCTACTATAGATACTGCTAGTATGTCGTAGTGTGCCTGAACCCTAAATCCTATTTAATTTTCCAGGAAGCATCCTTACCATAAGATTCTCGCACCAAATATCTAAACACTTAAATCCTTCCTACCCTAAATCCTAAACCGTAAACCCTCCAAAACCCTAAACCACCCCCTTCCACTCCTAAATCCTAAACCGTAAACCCTCCAAAACCCTAAACCACCCCCTGCCACCTCTACCCAGGCAGTGGCTAATCGTCGCAGGAATCGCTGCGTTCTTTTGCTCGTATGCCTTCGACCTGCTAGCAGTTTAGTTGCTTACCCAAAGGGTCATGTAGCTATGTGGTATATACCTTGCCCTTAAAGTAAGTATATGGGAACCCCTTTGGGCCCGAAGTATATACCATATACCTACATGGACCCTTTGGGTTAGAAGCCCATATTTGGCGGGTAGCTTCCATGCAGGAATGCAGGGTAAAAAGGTCTACGGGGGAGGGTTTCGGGCTTGGGGTGGCTAGCTCTAAGATGTTCAGTCTCAAAATACTCTATACTGTTTCTGCAAGGTCAATACGGGTCGTGGAGGGTTTGTATGCCACCCATTTGGGAGCGACCCGCCTGCCGTGGGCTTCTACGAGCAGCTTTCTTGGGCATGTGCCTGATGACGGTCCCTGCCTTGTATGGTCGTCTCCAAAACTCACGGGCCGATTTACGTACCCTTCTGGCAGTCCTGGCATCAGTAAGGATTGCATGACTTTCATATACGTAAGCGACACCGTTGCTTTTCTGCAAACACCTGCAGGGAGAGTATGTAGGGATCCGGTCTTCGGCACATCCCCTTCGTAGGCAATGACCTGCTGGTGTGTCTGGCCGAGCAACGATGGCAAAAGCGAAATCTGCTCAGCTACTTCATTGTACCTCGGGAATTCTGATACCGTAGTCTGAGGAAGTGATGCTGAATCTTTAGCATCACAGGTATATTGCCGAGGTGTTCGAACAATTGGCTTCCCTTTCGGGGTTCCCGTGTAACATGGTAGCATTTTCAGGTTTGTACACAAAGCGGCACTTTTGTCCAAACTCCTTTGCGGAACTGACCGAAGGGGTAGTAATAATGCCAGCGCAGTACTCCATGCACTCGTATGGTTGAAGAAAAGCAACGCAGCCTGCGTCATGCTTGACTGAAGAGGATACTCGTCATACTCATGTGCCCCGTCATCAAAGTCGTATGAATACTTTGACCTGCAGACAGGGACCGTAATTCTGAGAAATCTCTCATTTTCATCCATAGCTAAGGACCATTTATCCTTCTCTCTCAGTAAACTCTAAACCCGTATGTGGACCCTGAACCCCACATATGGTAATTTCCTAAAATAAAGGAACCCCAATATAGACCCCAATATACTATGGTCCTTATTATGGGGATCCCCAAAAAGGTACCCCTAATTTTGGGAAACCCCCATATAAATCTGTAGTCGCCTAAGAGCCCCGCCCCCAAAAACAAACGACGCCCAGAAAATCTCAAATCCTACACCCTACACCCAACCCTAAACTGGGTTGCTTAACATTAAATTAAGTTACCAGAATGGGTATATATAGTAAATAATATGTTATCCCCAGTATAGTAACTTAATTTAAGTTCCTTAACAGCAACCCAGTAAACCTTTAACCCTTAACCCCCAGCCCTAAACCATAAACTTGCCTTAAACCACGGATAACAAGTTCTTCAGGCTGGACCTTGAGCTGAACTGTCCTGTGGACAGCGGCCAGCTGTGCAATGTGCTGTCGCCTGGGGCTTGTGGTAGTTTCCCAAAACAAGGGGACCCCAATATAGACCCCAATATACTATAGTCCTTATTATGGGGATCCCCAAAAACGTACCCATAATTTTGGGAAACTCCCTTGCGGGTTAAAGGATCTCATATTTAGGATTCAGGATATGACATTTGGCATTCAGGGTTGAGGATTCAGAGTTTAGAATCTAGGGCGTAGGGTTCCCGTGACATATATCCTACTCAACACAAAGATGGAATTCTTGTGCAACCACTGGTTGAAAGGAACAAAGTTCGCAAAAGGCCTTCAGCATTTCTGGTTGGATATTGGTTTACTGGAGGCCGGGGTTTAGTTGAATTTAGGGTGTAAGGTGTAGTGCCTAAATTCTTCCCCTTCGCAATGAGTATAGCGAGGCCAAAGCAGATGCTCTGGGAAGTATTAAGATATTTGATGTTCAGCCTTTGCTTACTGGGGGTTAGTCGGGAACATTGGAATACATTGTATAGGGGGCTTTATATGGATTACGTTCCCTTGTTCCCTACCAACCACCAGTAAGTTTCAGGGGTGAGTCCCTCAGTGAGGGTGGCAGGGTGTGTTGGCCTCTGACCATGTATTGAATGTAGATTGCCCTCTATGCTATCAGGCCCCGGTTTATAGCAATCCTGACAAGTGGGACTCCAGAAAGGAATCCCTAATTTTCAGACCCCCCTGTGTCTTGCCTGTTGTCTTGCTACAGCCCATGTTCACACGAATGAAGAGTACGGCTGTTACTCTAAGAGTTCACGTTCCAAAGCAGGCTACAGTATCCCCATAAGCCCCTCGATAAAGCCCGGTCTCCAGGTGTTTGTCCACTTTCTTTTCCATTTAGTTCTCCATTTCTGGGACATCGTCAAGCTCCAAAATCCCACAGGACCAGCACCCCAATATCCAGGGGAAGGCTATACATCTGCTTTCGTTTCCAAAATGCCGCATATCTGCATATTCCTGTTATGCATAAACACATAGCATCTGATTCAGCTTGGTATGTTTGTACAGGTATGCACGCAAAGATACATAACTCAGTACAAATTGCATGTGGGAGGGTTTTTCGAACATGGGACCTTTGTTTCCGAACATGAACCCCACGTATACCCAGTTTCCTTGTCATGTTCCATCCGCTTTTCCTTTAAGAAGAAGAAACCCCTACATAACTGCAGTGTCCATTTTTATGTTCCTGTCCATTGGATTCTCCATAGTGTAACGTCGTACATACCCCTATGCGATACCCATCTATCCCGTGTATAATCTCACTATACATCTTTATAATATATATATATATAGCCCTACATAACCTTTAGCCTCCCTAGAGTAAAACCTATACCCTTAGCCCTGCCCCTAAACCCTAGACGCCTAGACCCCTAAATCCTAAACCCTCAACCCTTGACTCTAAACCCTTGACTCTAAACCCTCAAAAAAGACCCTCAACCCTAAACCCTGAACCCTCAACCTTACCTTGCCGGCAAGGTCAGACTGTGCGCGCATCAGTACAGCTTGTGGCTGCCTCAATATGCTGGAGCCTTAGATCTGGGACCACTCACTGGTTCTCCGTAGGGAATGTGGGGATGTATAGGGTTTAGGGCTTAGTATGCTAGACTTTCAGCCTCTCTGCTGGCCGTGCAGAGGCTTCCGGAATTGGAAGGTCCTGTTTGCCTCTGTATGCACAGCCCCAAACCTGAAATATCAGTCTCTGTTTCTCTCTCTTTATATACATATATAGATATATGTATGTACTTATATATAAAAAACGTATTGTATACACTTCTTCATAAGTATATACTAGTAGACAGAAATCGTATTTCTCCCCGCCATCACCAAAATCCCCTTTCGAGAGGTCCCAAAACGATACACCCAAATCTTAGATCCCCGAGATGATGAGAACGTCACCCTGGACTGGGTTTAGGGTGTTCATGGTGTTCAGGGTTTAGGTTTTATAGGGTTTATAGGATTTATAGGGTTCATAGGGTTTATAGGATTTAGGGTTTAGGGCTTGAGCCGGAAACTATGGGCCAACTGCTCTTTGTTACAGCCTATCATCTGAAAGAACCCTATGTGCTGATCTTCTGTTTCTATAGTCAGGCAAGAAGTGGTATAATAGGAATTATGAGAGGACCCTAATATAATCCTTACCCTTGTAGTCACTACTACTGGGTGG